GAGAACCTAGGGAAAGTTCAAAGGTCAATTATATATATATATATATATATACATATTATTTTAAACATAATGTACAGAAGGGATACAGTTACTTGAGTAAGGTAATGAGTACATTTCCTATCTAGTATTGTTACCCCCCTCCTTCGTTTTTCCCCTACTATCCCTTCCATCCCCACCTCCCCAACTCCTTCCACCCTCCCCAAGATGTGAAGTGCATTTTCAACATAGTGTCTTGTACATCTCATTGTTACAGTGGGTCATCCTGTATCCTTATTTCATCATTTTATTTCCCTTCCTCTCCCTAAATTAGAACAATATATATACAAGATGCAGGACACCCGAAACAAATACAGTGAAAACAGGGGTTATACCATGGGGGAAGAACATACAAAAGAAACAAAAAAAAATCACATAGGACATTATAAGTACAATAAAAAAAAAACAGCAAAATAGATAAAACCTTGTGTCCCTACCTTGGTGTTCATTTCGCTTAGCACCATCTTATATGGCCATGTGTACATAGCTTTTGACCTTTTCTGCTTGTCTTAGACATACACTACTTACTGTAGATAAGGAAACCCATGGGACCTATGTTTCTTTGGGCCTGGCTGACTTTACTTAATATAATTTTTTCCAAGTCTTTCCATTTCCTAACAGATGGGGCGATGTCATTCTTTCTGATGGAGGCATAGAATTCCATCACACACACACACACACACACACACACACACACACACACACACACACACACACACACACACACACACCACATCACATTTTCTTGACTCATTCATCTACTGAGGGGCATATGGGTTGGTTCCATATCTTAGCTATGGTAAATAATGCTGCAATAAACATAGCTATTCTGGTAGCTTTAGTATGTTGTTTGTAAACATTTGGGTAAATGCCCAAAAGTAGGATTGCTGGGTCATAGGGGAGCTCTATGTGGAGTCTTTTGAGGAACATCCATACTGCTTTCCAAAGTGGTTGAACAGGGCTGGGAAGTTGGCTCAGTGGTAGAGCGCTTGCCTTGCATGCCTGAGGCCCTGGGTTCGATTCCTCAGCACCACATAAGCAAAAAGAAAAAAGCTGGAAGTGGCGCTGTGGCTCAAGTGGTAGAGCGCTAGCTTTGAGCTGAAGAGCTGAGGGACAGTGCCCAGGCCCAGAGTTCAGGACCCACGACCGGACCCAAAAAAAAACAAAAAACAAAGTGATTGAACAAGTTTACACTCCCACCAACAATGCAAGAGGGTTCCCTTCTGGTCACATCCCCTCCAGCATCTGTTGTTATTAGATTTCTTGATTATAGCCATTCTAACTGGGGTGAGGTGATATCTCAATGTTGTTTTGATTTACATTTCTTTTGTGGCTAGAAAAGTTGAGCATTTCTTCATGTGTCTATTGGCCATTCTTATTTTTTCTTCAGAGAAGGCTCTTTTTAATTCTTTAGCCCACTTATTTATAGGGCAGTTGTTTCTTTGAGGATTTATTGTTGGGGGATTTAAAATTTTGAGTTCTAAGTATATATAAGATATGAGACCCCGTCTATTGTATGGCTAGTGAAGATCTTTTCCCAATCAGTAGGCTTTCTATTGATCCTGCTTGCTATGTCCTTTGCCATGCAGAAGCTCTGTATTTTCATGCAATCTCATTTGTCCAACCTTTCTTTGACTGTTGTGTTTCTGGGTTTTTATTAAGAAAATTTCAGTCTGTGCCAAGGAGTCCTAGAGGTTCTCCTATTCTTTCCTGTAATGTTTTCAAGGTGTCTGCTTTGACTTTGAGGTCTTTGATCCATTTAGAGTTGACTCTGGTACAGGGTGATATATAAGGATCTAGTTTCAGTTTTCTACAGGTGTTTAAGGAGTTTTGCCAGCACCATTTACTGAAGAAGCTGTGTTTCTTCCATTCTATTTTTTTTTTTAGCTCTTATTGAAAATTGGGTGGCTATAGGTCTGTGGGTTCACTTCTGGGTCTTCAGTTCTATTCCATTGGTCCTCAGGTCTGTTCTTGTGCCAGTACCAAGCTGTTTTGATTACTATGGCTTTGTAGTAGAGTTTGAAGTTTGGTATTGATATTCCTCCAGCACTGTTCTTTCTGCTGAGGATTGTTCCATATGAATTTTTGGATTGCTTCTTCTATTTCATTGAAGAATGAGGTTGGGATATTGATAGGTATCACATTGAATTTGTAGATAGGCTTTGGCAGTACTTCCATTTTAACGATGTTAATCCTCCCAATCTAGGAGCATAGGAGGTTTTTCCACTTTCTTAGTTCTGTTTTAATTTCCTTTTTCAGGTTTTTAAGGTTTTCACCATAGAGTTCCTTCACTTCTTTAGTTAACTCCTAAGTATTTTATTTTTTGTGAGCTATTACAAAAGGAGTTGCTTTTCTGATTTCTGCCATGATCTTCTCCTTATTGGTATACAGAAAAGCTATACTGAGGGTTTATTTTGTATCTTGCTACTTTGCCAAAGTTTCAGATCAGTTCGAGTAACTTGGGAGTGGAGTCCATGGGGTGTTTTAAATACAAGATCATGTCATCTGCAAAGAGGGAGAGTTTTACTTCATCTTTCCCTATTTGGATCCTCTTCATGTTTGTATTTTGTGTTATTGCTCTAGCTAGGCATTCTAATACTAAATTGAAGAGAAGTGGAGAGAGTGGACATCCTTTTCTTGTTCCTGAAATTAGAGGAAATGGCTTTAGTTTTCCAGCATTAAGTATAATGCTGGCTGTTCAAAAGTCAATTTTATATGCTAATGTAAAGGCCACGTCTCTATCAAGCATGTTTAAAAACTATTGTGCTTTTGGTAAACTGCACTTTCTTTTTTAAAGTACAACCTCTGTGTTGTAGCATTCTCTTGTATGTGTGTCTCTCCTGTTCAGGACTTATTAAATGGTGCCCAGCTCTTTTCTTTATCACATTGCTGTTCCATAAGCCTTCTTGGTGGTGTTTGTACATCTATCTTAAGAAAAAGATAGAAAAATCTAATATTTTCTAACAGATATGAAAGAAGGATCACTAGCAGGATACTAATTAACATGCCTCAGATTTTTTTCTCTTAAACTGAGAAATCCATACTCTTCTCCTTTTTCTTCTTTACCTCATTTACCACCTCCTCCATATCCACCTTCTCCTATTTTCCATTCCCCTCCTCCTTGTTGCCTGGGAAACAGGTGGACAAGACCTCACAAGACATAGGCCGCTAGCCAGGATTTCCAGTTGGGGGCTTGTGGCAACATGCCAGTCTCTAAGAGGCTTTCTTCTGTTTCTCTGGCATTGCTCACTTTCAAATAAACTTAGAATCTTCGTCCACATTTCCTGTCTCATAATTACTTATTTACTGGGGAAAAGGGAGCTTAAGACTACAATTTAGAAAAATGTTATAAACTAAAAGCTATATTCATAATATAAAAATAATAAATGGAGTTGCCAGGTGTTTCCTCTGCAGATTTTGTGCCCATGCCCTGTGTTCCCTTTTGTACTTTGTAGCCAACAGAATGGCTCCTTCCTCAAGCAACTGACAGGACTGCAGACATAAACTCCTGAGCAATAAAGAATTAATTATTCCTTAATGGGCCAGTCCAGAACAAACTGTCATGCATCACCTGTGCGCACACATTAGGACACATGCAGGAATGCACGCGCACGCGCACACTCACACACACACATACACATACACACTCAAAGAATCAATTAACATATGGGCCAATGAGCTGAGCAGATACTTCTTAAAAGAAGGACAAAGGATATATACACAATGGAATTCTATGCCTCCATCAGAAAGAATGACATTGCCCCATTTGTTAGGAAATGGAAAGGCTTGGAAAAAATTATATCAAGTGAAGTAAGCCAGGCCCAAAGAAACATAGGTACCATGGTTTCCCTTATTTGCAATATCTAGTATGAGTCAAGTGGAAAAGGTCAGATAACGTGATGTTAGGAAAATGAACCCTTAGATATGTATTTTAATGTTTTTTTTTCTTTCATGCATTTGTTTCTAACGCATTTATAAGATTATCTCTTTGTTGCTTTGTATGTCCCTCCCCCACAGTATAACCCCTGCTTTCACTATATTTGATGTTAGTATAACTTGTGGAGGAGATGGGGAAAAACAAGTCTTTAAGGATACAGGTGGACCTGTTGCAACAATGAGAAGTAAAAGTTCTCATGTCGAAAACGAGCTTTACAACATTGGTGGGGGGGGGGATTGGGTGGGGGGGTGGAGGGGGAGGCTGGGAAGGGATGTGAAGGGTAAACAAAGGAGGAGCAATGCTTGATAAGAAATGTACGCATTATCCTGCCCATGTAATTGTAACCCCTCTGTACAGTATGTTCACAAAAAAAATTTAATTTAATTTAAAAAAAAGAAGGACAAAGGAACAATCAATAAAGAAATGCTCAGTATCTCAGGCCATACAGGAAACACAAATGGAAATGACATTGAGATTACAACTCTGTCTGCTCAGTCAGAGTAACCATCATCAAAAGCACTAATAACAAATTCTGACAAAGATGCAGGGGGAAAGGACCCCTCATACACTGTTGGAGAGAATGTCACCTTGTACAGCCACTGTGGAAATCAGGGAAGAAGTTGCTCAAAAGTTAACAAAACTAAAACCTACACTATAATCCAGAGCTGCAAAGGAATATGAATCAGGATACCACAGAGACAGGGGAAGAGTTAGCAATTTTCACAGTAGCTAAGGTATGAAATGGCCCAAATACCCTACAATAGGTGCCTGCATCCAGGACATGTGAGCTACACATGCACTCACGCACGCACGTGCACACACACATGCTGACAGACAAACCAACACACAGAGACACACCCTGGTCTACTGAGTCATCCCTCACACACCGGATTATGCAGTCATAATGAAATAACGGAGCGGTGCACAGTGGCGTGGGGGGCCCTGTGCAGACCCGCGTCTGGCGCTGGATCTGAGTGCGAATTTTCGCCACTGCGGCCGCTCAGAAATCAAGGCTGTCAGCGCAGCCATGACCAGCAACGACGAATGTTTCAGTTGTGGCCAAGCTGGCCACTGGGCCAGGGAATGCCCCACTGCTGCGAGACGGGGGCGAGGAGGACCGAGGGGCTGGGGCAGAGGGCTCCAGGTTTATCCCGCATCCCTGGTAGACTTCTGCTACCGCTGCGGGGAGTCCGGACACCTTGTCAAGGACTGTGATCTGGAGGAGGACGCCTGCTATAACTGCGGCGCAGGCGGCCACATCGCCAAGGACTGCAAGGAGCCCAAGAGAGAGCGGCAGCAGAGCTGCTACAACTGCGGCAGACTAGGCCACCTGGCTCGAGACTGCCAGCAGGCAGATGACCTCAAGTGCTATTGTTGTGGCCAACCTGGCCATATGCAGAAAGACTGCCACAAGGTGCAGTGTTACAGGTGCGGGGAACTTGGACATGTGGCCATCAATTGCAAGAAAGTATTAGAAGTCAGCTGTTACCGCTGTGGTGAGACTGGACATTTTGCCTGGGAATGCACCATTGAGGCCTCGGCCTAATTCTTTGCCCGTGTCGCCCTTCCTCGTTTCTGCTGATAGTGTATTAATTTCTCTGATACTCTTTGCTGGCCAAAGTTGGCCGATGGAGGCTACTCCCAGGCCAGTGAGCTTTAATTGCTCTGAAAAAGGAGGAAAGCGGTGAATGAATAAAAATTGACATTTTGCATTTAGCCAGGTCATATATTATGCTTTGTTAAAGAATCTCCCTTCCATGCCCTAGTGAATTGGGTTTGGTGGATGGGAAGAGTTTATTCAGACGAATAAGGGTATTCTGAGTTTCTTAAATTTTCCTATTTCAGAAGTAAAACTAATTCTGGTAGTATTTATGATCTTCCATAAGTCACTTTAATTTGAGCATATTGATGGACTTAGATTTTCTTTTTTCTTTTTTGGCTTAACATCCTAGTTTTTTTTTATTGTGAAAATACTGTACAGAAGGGTTACAATTACATGGGCAAGATAATGAGTACATTTCTTATCAAGCATTGTAGCCTCCGCTTTTGTTTGCCCTTCCCATCCCATCCTCCTCCCGCCCCCCCCACCCAACCGTCCTCCCCCACCACCAAAGTTGTAAAGTTCGTTTTAGACATAACGACTTATACATCTCGTTGTTGCAATGAGTACACCTGTATCCCTATTTAAACGATTTGTTTTTCCCCATCCCCTCCACAAATTATACCAACATCAAATACAGTGAAAGCAGGGATTATACTATGGGGGAGGGACATACAAAGCAACAAAGAAATAGCTTTATAAATGAGTTAGAAATAATCGCATGAAAGAAAAAAACATTTGAATTCATATCTAAGGGTTCATTTCCCTAACATCAACTTATCTGACCTTTACTACCAGCACGATTATGTTTATTGCAGCCTTATTTACCATAGCTAAGTTATGGAACCAACCCAGATGCCCCTCAGTAAATGAATGGATCAAGAAAATGTGGTATATATACACAATGGAATTCTATGCCTCCATCAGAAAGAATGGCATTGCCCCATTTGTTAGGAAATGGAAAGACTTGGAAAAAATTATATTAAGTGAAGTAAGCCAGGCCCAAAGAAACATAGGTCCCATGGTTTCCCCTATTTGCAAGAACTAGTATATGTCTGAGTCAAGCAGAAAAGGTCAGATAAGTCGATTTTCTAACCTCAATAGCTCTTAAATAATGTTAAGTACCAGGCCCTCAAAGAATGTACTGTTGATGGGAGTAAACAAAATGAGAAAGCAAACATATGCCTTGAAGGCTGTAGGAGAGGAATCAGAATAAAAGCCTTAACCAGGACAGCTTTATTCAGCGCTGATCCTGGATTTACAGATAGTGATGGCAAAGATTAAAAACACACATTTTCAAGGACTAAATCTAAACCCCACAATGAACATCAATTCTCAAAGTTAGCATAAATAGGGTTCATTCAGGAATTGCGTAGAAATGCATTTTCACAGAAACTATGAAGTTGTTTTGGAATATTATTTCATATAAATCAAGATGTGATTTTTTTATGCTATGTCACTTCAACGATCCTGTTTCCTTTGCTCTGCTCAGTTTTTTAAAGTCAGATGGAAAAGCAACTGGCTTCTAGAAAATAGAAATTGTACTTTAAAAATATTTCAATTGTTAACAATGAGGTGATGTACAGAGGGGTTACAGTTATGTAATTCACATAAACATTACATTTCCTTTGGACAATGTCAACTCTTCTCTTGTACTACTCCAGCTTTTCTTCCTGTCTCAACCAAAAGTGGTATAGTTCATTTTCAGAATAGTGTCTAGACAGGGCTGAGTGCATGGCCTTCAGTAAAGTAGGGACAGTAGATCTCATTTTTCTGCCATGTCCTTTAAAAAAAATATTATTTAAAAGGTGATATACAGAGGAGTTACAGTTACATACATCCGGTTGCCATGCCTTTTTCTCATGGACCCAGAAACCCCAATGAAATGACTGTAATAATAATGTTGATATTAATAATAATAAAAAGAGTAATGTCAGTCCTAACAGCATTATTTCACCAAACCTCTTGCCTGCTTCTATGGAGATTTCCAATTCTGTCATTCATTCTGGTAGCTCCTTTATTAGAAAGAAACTTAGGGTCACAGCTACAGTTTAAGTTGCTTTTATCTCCTTTGGTGTACTACTACTTCCCTTAATTGAACCCCTGACAGGCTCCCTGTGTGGGTAACTAGTTAAAGATAGGCAGGCTCTGAAAGGCAAAACCTGCACAATTTCCCCTCTAGGATCATTCCCATATCAAAAACAATATCCATGGAAAGGTGAGGTACAGGAGAGGCTATTTCCCATCATTTCTTTTGTGTTTTGGTCAGTTGTGGGCCTGAACTCTGGGCCTGGGCACTGTCCCTCAGCTCTTCAGCTCAAGGCTAGCACACTGCCACTTGTGCCACAGTGCCACTTCTGGCTTTTCTCCTTATGTGGTGCTGAGAAATCGAACCCAGGGCTTCATGCATGCAAAGCAAGCACTCTACCACTGAGCCATCTTCCCAGACCTGCTATTTCCCATCATTAAAGGGTGAAAACACAGAGATTCCTCACTAAATAGCTCTGAATACAGCTCTAAATAGGTCTTGTAAGCTTAAAAAAAAAGGAGGCCCTGATAAGTAGAAGCTGGATCAGGACCTCTGATGAATAAATGAAGCAATCATCTCCCTCTAAGCCAAGGTCCACAATCCATATACTCTCTTGGCACAAATACTCTCAAATACCACCCATTCCCTTTATAAGATCTTAAATAGATTAAGATCCACCTAGGGAACGCTCAGAAATCAATTTAGTATGCTAATGTAAAGCCCAGTTCTCCATCAAGGATGTTCTCTAAATATTCTGCTCTTAAAACCTTCCCTTGTTTAAAAGTACAGCCTCTGTTTGTTGTTGGCATCTTCTTATTTTATTTGTGTGTCTTGCCCATTCAGGGCTTTCTAGTGATGCCAGCTCAGCTCTTTTCTGTATCACTGTGTTGTGGCCTATGTTTTTTTAGGGGTCTTTGTTTTTCCATCTTAAAATAAAGATGATAGAAACGCTGAGATTTCTCCAAGGGAAACAAAGGGGGATAACCAGGGGCCTATAGCATGCTGCCAATTTCCACGCCTCACTTCTAACTCTCTTGTACTCAAAGTCCATACTCTGCTCCTTCTTCTTCACCTGCTTTTCCTCCTTCACCTCTTCCTTTACATTCTCCTCCTCATTCTTGCCTGAGAAACAGGTGGACAAGACCCCACATGATATAAGGCAGCCCTCAGAGCCAGGAGTTGGGGGCTTGTGCCAACCTGCCAGTCTTTAAGAGGTATTCTTCAGTTTCCCTGGCATCTTTCACTTTCAAATAAACTTCGATTCTGCTTCCACATTTCCTGACACATAATTCCTTATTTGCTGGGGAAAACAAAGGACTTGAGACCCCTATACTTTAGAAAAAGGTTATGAACTGAAATAAAGCTATATTCATAATATGAAAATATAAATTGAGCTGGGTGCCAGTGGCTCATGCCTGTAATCCTAGCTACTCAGGAGGCTGAGATCTGAGGATTGCCGTTCAAAGTCAGCCAAGGTACGAAAGTCCATGAGACTCTTATCTGCAAGTAACCACCAGAAAAACAGAATTGGTGCTGTGGCTCAAGTGGTAGAGCTCTCACCTTGAGGTGAAGTGCTGAGGGACAGCATCCAGTTGCAGAGCTCAAGCTCCATGACTGACAAATTTATACACACACACACACACACACACACATATACATACATACATATGTAAACTTTATTTCTGGCTTTTTCCTGTGCATAGTTTGTGCACATACCCAGTGCTCCCTTTTGCACCTTCTAGCCAAGGGATTGGCTCCTACCTCAAGCAGCTGACAGGACTGCAGTTGTGGGAACTCCTTTGCAATAAAGAATGAATTATCCCTCAACAGGTCTGTCTAAGAAACTGTCATGCAGCACACGTGTGTGCGTGCACACACACACACACAAACACACACACACACACACACACACACACACACACACACACACGCGCATGCACACACAGACAAGAGGAAAGAATACTTTTTATGTTGTTGTTGGGGCTTGATCTCAGGACCTGGGCACTGTCCCTGAGCTTTTTCTCTCAAGGCTAGGATTCTACCACTTGAGCCACAGCATCGCCTCTGATTTTCTGATGGTTAATTGGAAATAAGAGTCTCATAAACTTTCCTCCCAGACAGGCTTTGAAATGCGATCCTTAGATCTCAATGTCCTGATTAGCTAGGATTACAGGTATGAGCCACTGGCTCTCGGCTTTCTTTAATACTTTTAAAAGCAATCGTTGTCATTTAGGGTGACATGAATGAACCAGGCCAAAGTTATTCTAAGTGAAATAAGCTATATATATATATATATATATATATATATATATATATATATGTGTGTGTGTGTGTGTGTGTGTGTGTGTATATATATATGTGTGTATATATATACATATATATATATATATATATATATATATATACAGAGACAGACAGAGACAGAGACACAGAGAGAGAATGGAATATACCTTAGTACTTTTTTCTTTATTTCCATATATATTTTTATTGTAAAAATACTGTACAGAGGGGTTACAGTTACATGAATAGGGTAATGAGTACATTTCCTAGCAAGCATTGTTACATCCTCCTTTGTTTTTCTCCTACAATCCCTTCCCTCCCCACCTCCCCAACTCTTCCCTCCCCTCCCCCAAATTGTAAAGTTTGTTTTCAACAATCTCATTGTTACAATGAGTCATCCTTATTTAAGTATTTTGTTATATCCCTTTCCCTCCACAAATTAGAAAACTGTATATACAAGATGCAGGACACCGGAATCAGATACAGTGAAAACAAGGATTATACCATTGAGGAGAACATGCAAAAGAAACAAGAGAATCACATAGTGCATTGTAAGTTCGTTAAAAACAATTCTATGCTTTTATGCCCATACTCCATTTGAAAAACTTTTATTTTACTAAGATGGAGTCGCCGTATATTGCCAACAGTACTTTCAAACTTACCATCATCCAGACACAGTCTTCCAAGTAACTAGGACTGCAGGCAAGTGACATTATACCTGACTAGAAACTATTTAAAAAGTCGGACTAATCAAAGTAAAATTCACATTAGTCACACTCAGCTTTTGAGTGTCTTGAACCGAGGGACTTAGGTTTCTTTGGGCCTGGCTTACTTCACTTAATATAGTTTTTTCCAAGACTTTCCATTTCCTAACATATGGGGCCATGTCATTCTTTCTAATAGAGGCATAGAATTCCATATTATACATGTACCACATTTTCTTGATCCATTCATCTACTGAGGAGCATCTGGGTTGGTTCCATATCTTAGCTATGGTAAATAATGCTGCAATAAACAAACATAGTTGTGCTGGTAGCTTTAGTATGGTCTTGTTTGTGAACATTCGGGTAAGGGCCTAAAAGTGGGATTCCTGGGTCATAGAGGAACTCTATGTGGAGTCTTTTGAGGAACCTCCATACTACTTTCCAAAGTAGAACAAGTTTACACTCCCACCAACAATGCAGTAGGGTTCCCTTTTGGCCACATCCACTTCAGCATCTGCTGTTATTAGATTTCTTGATTATATCCGTTCAAACTGCGGTGAGGTGGTATCTTAATATTGTTTTGATTTGCGTTGCTTTTTTGTTTTTTGTCGGTCGTGGGGCTTGAACTCTGGGCCTGGGCGCTGTCCCTCAGCTCTTCAGCTCAAGGCGAGCGCTCTACCACTTGAGCTACAGCGCCACTTCCAGTTTTCTGGTGGTTTATTGGAGATAGGAGTCTCACGGTCTTTCCTGCCCGGGCTGGCTTTGAACCGCGATCCTCAGATCTCGGCCTCCTGAGTAGCTAGGATTACAGGCGTGAGCCACCAGCGCCCGGCAATACACATTGATTTTTTTTTTTTTTTTTTTTTTTTGTCAGTCGTGGGGCTTGAACTCTGGGCCTGGGCGCTGTCCCTCAGCTCTTTAGCTCAAGGCGAGTGCTCTACCACTTGAGCTACAGCGCCACTTCCGGTTTTCTGCTGGTTTATTGGAGATAGGAATCTCACGGTCTTTCCTGCCCCGGCTGGCTTTGAACCTCGATCCTCAGATCTCAGCTTCCTGAGTAGCTAGGATTACAGGCGTGAGCCACCAGCGCCCGGCTTTGCATTGCTTTTATGGCTAGAGAGGTTGAGCATTTCTTCATGTGTCTATTGGCCATTCTTATTTCTTCTTCAGAAAAGTTTCTCTTTAAGTCTTTAGCCCACTTGTTTATTTGGCAGGTGTTTAACCAATTTTGCCAGCATCATTTACTGAAGAGGCTGCATTTCTTCCATTCTATTTTTTTTTAGCTCCCTTATCGAACATTAGGTAGATATGGGTTTGTGGGTGCATTTCTGAGATTTCAATTCTGTTCCACTGGTCCTCAGGTCTGTTCTTGTGCCAGTACCAAGCTGTTTTGATTATGGCTTTGTAGTAGAGTTTCAAATTTGACATTGATATTCCCCCAGCACTATTCTTTAAGGATCGTTTTTGCTATTCGATGTCGTTTATTGTTCCATATGAATTTTTGCATTGTTTCTTCTATTTCATTGAAGAATGAGATTGGAATATTGATAGGTATCATATTTAATTTGTAGATAGTCTTTGGCAGTATTGCCATTTTCATGGTTGATCCTTCCAATCCAGGAGCATGGGAGGTTTTGCCACTTTCTAAGTTCTGTTTTGATTTCCTTTTTCAGGTTTTTAAAGGTTTCATCATAGAGGTTCTTCACTTCTTTGGTTAAGTTAATTCCTAGGTATTTTATTTTTTGTGGAGCTATTAGAAATGAGTTGCTTTCCTGATTTCAGCCGTGCTCTTCTCATTGTTGGCATACAGATAAGCTATTGGTTTTTGAGGGTTAATTTGGTACCCTGCTACTTTGCCAAAGTTTTGAATCAGCTCTAGTAACTTTGGAGTACAGTCCATGGGATTCCTTTGTATAATTATTATTTTATTGTAAAAATGTTGTACAGAGGGGTTACAGTTACGCGAGTAGGGTAATGAGTACATTTCATAGCAAGCATTGTTACCTCCTCCTTCATTTTCCACCTAGCAGGCAAAGAAGGAAAGAGAAGCAGTGAAAGGGACCCCCGCAGAGCATGGCTCCATGCAGGGCTGCCCAGGACTCTCTGCAGACTTTAAGCAGAGGAGCACCCAAAAACGCTCATAACTAGACCCACGGGAAAGTTAGGAGGGAACCTGGTGAAGACTTCCAAACCAGAGAATGCCCCCCTCGACCCACCCCACCCTTCCCCCCAGGGCAGCTATGGGGAAGGAGTGAACTCAGTAATACAACCATTACAGAAACTGGCATCACCAGGTAAGCCCTCAAAGTCAGCCCGTGACTGCAGCGCTGGTGGGATAACTGTGGGCCCCCGCCAACCTGGCACAAGGCTCCCAGGAATCCACAGCGGCAGCTAATCCATCTCTCTAAGCTCTATGAGCCAACTGCCCTACTAACTGGGCACTCTGCTGGGACCTGCTGCCACCCCAGGCTCTCATAGCCAAGGCACCACCAAGCTGCTACAGGCATCCCTGAAGATCCACCTAGCAACTGCAAACAACCATCCCCAAGGCTGCCTGCCACTGGCCTGCCACCTCCCACCTTCTCTACTGCAGACCAACATGGATCCTGCAGCCCACACCAGCCGGCTTCACAAACCTCCACCTGGTTCCCCCAGTGCCAGGACTCCCCAAGCTGCCACAGAGGAGACCCTTCAGCATCAGCAGAGCCAACTTCCCCCCTCCCCACCTGGGCCTGCCTACATCCAGACCCTCTGGCTGAGAACCTACCAACTCCATCCGACCCACCACAGCACAGACTCTGTGGTCCAGAGCACCACCAGCTACAGACCTCGTGAGTAACCCAACTGGGTCCTCTCTCTGGGTAGCAATTCCCTGCGGGATCCCAAAGCCCTCTGACCCAAGTCCCCCTTCCAAAAGGAAGGGATCCCATCAGAACAGAACACAGACATAAGCTCTTTTCCTAAGGCTACTGTGGCTACCTGGGAAAGCTTGGGAACACAGCTCCAGGCCTATGATAGCAGTCTACAACCCTGAAACGCCAAAAGCCTCCTCCCACCAGGCCTGTGAGTGGGACTATAGATAGCAAGCAGCCTCCCCCATCAAGGGCCATCTGCTCCCAACCAAGCCACAAGGAAAGTGGACTACAGCAAGGCATAAAAGGGTCTATCAGGAATCGGCTCTGAGGACTAAGGGGAGACTAAAACTCACCGAAAGAACATGAAAAACCATTCTTTAGTTTTTTATTCTCATTTTTGTTTTGTTTTGTTAGTTTTTATCTCCAATCATTTGTTGTTTGTTTTTATTTCTATGTGTTATTTATGTGTATTGTGATTTAGGATTTGCTATTCCAATTAAAGCTTCTATTTTTCATTATTATTCATTTTTTTCACACTTTCCAATTTCCTAATTTGTAAGGTTTTTCTTTCCTTTTCTGCTTTCTTTTCTTCTCACTCTCCCCTTCTCCTCCTTTTTCTCCAAATTATACTACTACACCATCGGAGCTACCCTCCTTACTTCTATACACAAAGTAAAGCCTCCTTCTATGTGTATAAACAGTAAGTACAGGAGTTAACTTAGATTAAGCAACTCTCCAATAATATCTGAATAATCTTTGTCTAATCTCAGAAACTCTCCCAAATATACTTATATATAAAGCTTCTTTTTCTTCCCTTCATCTCCATCTCTAAGCTACTCCTTATATAACCTTTCTTCGAATTCTTTTCCACCTCTTACACTCAGTAAAAAGGTCTTTATTCTCCTCTTACTACATATACCCCAGTCCTAAGCTGTTCTTACTCCTCTACTATCATTATTCCCAAGTCCTCTTCTGAACTTGAACTCATATCTCTCCAATCCTAACCTTTCACTTCTCCATCTGCACCATCCCATTGATCCCTAAGGGTTTATATCTGACCCAACTTACAGTTGGTTCTATTTTTGACCATAAAATTGATTCCATTTGACCATTTTGAGTACAAGGGGCCCATCTCATTAACTCTAAGGAGCAGACTACTTATCAGCCAAACCCAGGTTGTCTCAAAAGTTACAACTATACATAATCAAGACCACCAAGCTGTAATATCAGTGCTATGTTATTCAAAAAAGTTACAAAACAAAAACCTACCCTATGATCCAGAGCTGCAAAGGAACGAAAATCAGGATACTATAGAGACAGGGACACAGTTAGCAATTTTCACATTAGCCAAGGTATGAAATGGCCCAAATATCCCACATCCCTGGTAGACTTCTGCTACCGCTGCGGGGAGTCCGGACACCTTGTCAGGGACTGTGATCTGGAGGAGGACGCCTGCTACAACTGCGGCGCAGGCGGCCACATCGCCAAGGACTGCAAGGAGCCCAAGAGAGAGCGGCAGCAGAGCTGCTACAACTGCGGCAGACTAGGCCACCTGGCTCGAGACTGCCAGCAGGCAGATGACCTCAAGTGCTATTGTTGTGGCCAACCTGGCCATATGCAGAAAGACTGCCACAAGGTGCAGTGTTACAAGTGCGGGGAACATGGACATGTGGCCATCAATTGCAAGAAAGTACTAGAAGTCAGCTGTTACCGCTGTGGTGAGACTGGACATTTTGCCTGGGAATGCACCATTGAGGCCTCGGCCTAATTCTTTGCCTGTGTCGCCCTTCCTCGCTTCTGCTGATAGTGTATTAATTTCTCTGATACTCTTTGCTGGCCAAAGTTGGCCGATGGAGGCTATTCCCAGGCCAGTGAGCTTTAATTGCTCTGTAAAAGGTGGAAAGGGGGTAGACAAATTAAAAAACAAAAATGATTTTCTGAATTTAACTAGGTCTTGTGTGTAATGCTTTGTTATAGAAACCCTTTCTGAGTCTCTGATGAATAGGAATTGTGGGGTGGGAAGAGTTGAGTCAGATCATTAAGCCCATCCTGGTTTACTTAAATATTTCCACATAAGATGTAAAACCAAATCTAGAAATCTCTATGAACTTCCATTAGTTACTTCAATTTTATCATAACAAAGGCCTTGTGTTGCCTGACCTCAGGAGCTACTAAATAACCTCAAGTCACATCTGTGACAGGCCACTGTGGGATAGACATATAAGTCACTGTAAATGAAATGAGAAGGACAACATATGTGTTGAAGTATATTGGAGAGAAATTGGAATAAATACCTAAACTGGTACAGCTTCATTGCAGGACTGCTGCTGAGTATACAAAGCATGATGACCAAGGTTCAAAACACACATTTTCTTTTTTTAAATAATTTTTATTGTGATTAAGTGATTACATAAATTTCACAAATTTCAGTTTTGTGAGATAGTGATACTTAGTTGAAATCACACATTCTAACCTTCATGAGGCAAAGTTTTATTAACGTGATCTATAATGTTTATGAATTCTAAGAGCTTTGACAATACAACTACTTCTTCCACATCGGGTAGTATGTACATTTCTTTCCTTTTGCTTAGTGTAAGCTGTTCCCTCTTTCCCTCCCTCCCATTGCTGCCCTTGAGCTGCTTAGTTTTCATCAATGTCCAGTGCAGCTGATGGGCCCTTCTATTGCATGTTTTCTCCTGATTCCCTATAACCCTGTGCCCTCCTCCTAGCTTCCCTCAGATGTGCACATATGTATGTCATATATGTGGTCAACAACATGGGGTCATTTAGCAATGATAGGACAAGATGAGTGGAGGTCCTTTGTTTCTCCAGTCCTGTTTACTTTGTTGTATCTCCTTGCATTCTGTATTTAACATCCACATATCAGGGAGACCATGTGCTGTTTGCCTCTTTGCTCTTGGCTTACCTCATTCAAAGTGGTTTTTTCTACTTCCATCCATTTCTGAGCAAATGACATTATTTTGTGCTTTCTAATGGCTGCATAATATTCCATTGTAGATAGGTACCACACAGTTTTTGGATCCACTCATCTGTAGTGGGGCATCTGGGTTGTTTCTATAACTTGGCTATGGGAAAACACACATTTTCAAATACTAAATCTAAAACCCAAAGATTGCCGAGAAATGCATTTTCACAGAAGTGAAGATGTTATTTTTGTATAATATTATCACTTAGATAGCTGGGTTTTATTTGTTCTAATCATTTGTTTTTACATCAGATGGAAAAAGAATCTGAGTCTTAGAAAATACAAAAGTAATTTTAAACTATTTTTTACAAAGTTGGAACCCCTCATAGACTGCATAGACTGCTTGTGTGGCAAGATGGTGAAACACTTTGGAGGACCCTGAAAGAGAACAGCTGAAGGAAGACACCTGCAGGATCATTCCCATTTCCCACATCAAAGGCACTACCCATAGAAAGGAAGGCTGAGGTTCAGGAGGGTCGAATTCCCACCATAAAGGGGCTAACCCACACAGACTCCTCGCTCAATATACCTGAAAACACCTCGTCTACGTTACAAACAAAAAAAAGGCCCTGGTGAGGTGACATTGGATGGAGACCTCAGATTATTACATGAAGCCATTTGCCTGCTTGATCTCATTGTCCACAATTTATATATTATCCTGGCCCAGATGCTCTCAAGTACCAACAATTCCCTTACAAGATCTTAAATCAATTAAGCAGCACCTAGGGACAGTTCAAAGATTAATTTGGTATACTAATGTAAAGCCCAGTTTTCTATCAGGGATATTTTTTAAATATTCTGCTCTTGGTAACCTGTACTTGTTTCCAAGTAGAGCCTGTGTTTATTGTTGCAATTTTCTCATATGTGTGTCTGGCTGTCCAGGGTTTTCTGGTGATGCCCAGGTCTTTTCTGTATCACTATGCTGTGGAATAGATGTTTACTTCGTGGTCTTTGTCTTTCTATTTTTAAAAAACGATTATAGAAAAGCTGAAATTTGCACATGGATATAAAGAGCCTATAGTAGGCTATCTATTGCCAGGTCTCTTTTCTTACTTTCCTATACTGAGAAATCCATACTCTACTCCTCTTCCACCTCCAGGAAAACTTTCCTCTGTGTCCTCCTGGAGGGCCTTACAAAAAGGATTTCTGAGAGGCAGAAGCACCCTCAGGGCCCTGAAATCATTGAGAAATCTGATGTCTTGAAATCCTAGCATAGCTGAGTGCATGGCCTTCAAGACAGCAGAGAGCTTGCAGCCCATTTTTCAACCATACTCTTTTCTCCTGGACCCATACCCCCAAGAAGCCTAAATCATAATAGTAATCGTATTATTAATAATAACAATAACAATAGTAATAGTAAGGAGCATATTGTATCATTCCTAACAGTCTTATTTCACCCAGCCCTTGGTCTGCTTCTATGGAGATCTCCCCTTCTGTCACTCATTTGTGGTAGCCCTTTTATTAGAAAGAGACTGATTGACCAGAAACAGGTTAAGTTGCTTTTGTTCCCCTCAGCCCAACCCCCACCCTCAGGAGACTTCTCTTAATGGAATCCCTCCCTGTTAGAATCCCTTGTAGGGCCAGATAGTCAAACACTTGGGAGAGCCTAGAGGCAACACATGAAAAATTGCACCTCTGGTATAAGTCCCAATACCTATATTAAATGCAATACCCATTGAAGGCTCAGGTCCAGGAGGGGCTAATTCCTATTCTTAAGGGCTTAAAACACAGATACCTCACTAATTAGCCCATAAAACGTGCCTCTGCAAAGCTAAACAAAAGGGAACCCTGAAGAGTAGAGGCTGCATCAGGACCTCTGATTCACAAATGAAGCAATTATCCCCCTCTATTCTACAAAGGGAAATTCAAGATAAAGCCCAGTTCTCTATCAGGGATATTCTAAAAATATTCTGCTCTTAGTGACCTTCCGTTATTTTAAAGTACAGACTGTATTTGTTATTGGCATTTTCTTAGCTGTATTTCTTGTCCGTTCAGGAGTTTCTGGAGATGACAGCTCTCTTTTCTGTAACACTCAGTTGGGCCTGAACTCTGGGCCTGGACACTGTCCCTCAGCTCTTCAGCTCAAGGCTAGCGCACTACCACTTGAGCCACAGCATCACTTCTGCCTTTTTTCTTTTTGCTTATGTGGTGCTGAGGAATCAAACCCAGGGCCTCAGGCATACAAAGCAAGCGCTCTACCACTGAGCCACCTTCCCAGCCCATGGTCTTTGTCTTTCTAACTTGAAACAAAGATGATAGAAAATCTGAGATTCACACACAGGCTATAAATGGAGGAATCATCTGGAGTATATAGCAGACTACCAATTTCCAGGCCTCACTTCCACTCTCTTCTACTGAGAAGTCTTATTCTGCTCCTCCTTCACCTCCCCTTCCTCCTTTCCATTCCCCTCCTCTTTCTTGCATGGGAAATAGGTGGACCAGATCTCATGAAACATGAGGCAGCCCTCACAGCCAGAACTTTCACTTGGGGGATTGTACAAACTGCCAGTCACTATGAGGCTTTCTTTCCTCAGTTTCCCTGGCACCTCTCACATTCTAATAAACTTTGCTTAGGCTTCCACTTATCCTGACTCATAATTCTTTATTAGCTGAATAGTAAGGGGCTTACGACGCCTAAAATTTAGAGAAATGTTTTAGAATAAATGGAAATAAAGTACATAGTTATAATATCGAAATGTAAAATGTGTTTCCAGCTTTTTCCTATGCAGACATTTGCACATGCCCTGAGTTCTCTTTTATACCCTAGTCAAGGAAATGTCTCCTACCTCAAGCAGTTGACAGAACTTGTAGGAACTCTTGGGCAGCAAAGAATGAAATATCCCTCAACGATTCAGTCCAAAGCAAGCACTCTACCACTGAGCCACCTTCTCAGCCCAGAGGTTATTTACTTTTACCAATCCTAGCACTTGAACTATACAGGGCCTGGGCATTGTCCCTGAGCTTTTATGCTGAAGGCTATCATTCTACCAATTGAGCCAGAGTTCACTTTCTGCTTTTTTGTACTTATTTGGAGGTAAGAGTCTCACAGACTTCCCTGCTCAGGCTGGCTTTGAACCCAGATCCTCAGATCTCAGTCTCCAGAGTAACTAGAATTATAGGTGTAAGCCAAGCTGCTGGCAAGAAATTTGACAGATGATTTCATGTATTTCATGCAGGCCCATCTGTGAGCTCATGTAATAATTCAAAGGAAAGACACATTTTGCCAGGCCATCTATTCCCATTTCAATAGTGAAGAATAAGGGAATAGGAGCAAATGATTGTCCAAAAACAAGACGAAAGCCCAGCAGACATTAATACCACCCCATGTCCATTATCCCAGGTGTACTGTAAAAGAATCTAGGTTGCCAAGGGCTGGGAAATCCCTGCCTCTATGCCTTGCTCATCCCTGGCACATGACCACTATCTTGAGCCTGCTCTGCTTGGTGTCTCCAGCTTTCCCTAATGATCAGTTTGTGTTGCTAGCTTCACTATCTTCCTTTGGTCTCAATCTTCCTTTGGTCACATGGCTTCACTGAACATTGCTCCACTAGGAGCTGCTTGCTTAGACTCTGATCTTGAATGACACTGCTTGGATTTCCTGACACTGCATTAAAATATTGTTGAAAGTGGTCATGACCCCATAATTACGGTATTCTGTATGCCTGCAGAACCATCATCATATGGGAACAAGTTATAGCTGTGGTGGCTTGAACACAGCTATCCGTATCAACTGGACATAGAGAAATGACCGCTGTGATGATCTTGACTGAGCTGGCCAATGG